CATGTTTCTTTTCCAGAGAGTTTTGATCTATAGACAGCAAATTATCGCTGACACCATATGCTGACCAGGCTTAAGCATCCTTCTCTGCACCTTTGCATGTCTTGGTAACAACATATAAACAACTGCTTGCTATTTTCTCAAGGAGCAAGCACAGTAACCTGAGAGCTGAACGTAAGATTGTATAATCCAGGTTGTGCGTGTAGATGAGAAATTACTGGGAGAAGTGTTTATTTTCATGATATTAAGGTACTTTTGCAGCAGAAGGAGCATTCTTGTGTTGTGTTTTGTGTTCAAGTGTTTCTGTGGAAAGAGGCATGAGAGCATTTTCTTCCATTGTGTTCAGAACCAAGGGTCATTTGCTAAAGAAAACCCTACTAATCATTTTCCATTCATTGTGGCCATCACTTTGGATTGTCCCTGCTGTAAGCAGATTAATTTACAGATGAGTATTGGAGAATCCTTGGCTTCATGGAGAGCAGTCATAGAGATTTATTAAGATGGTTTAATCATGTAAAATAATTATAAAAGGGCGCACTTGACATGGATATCAGGAGCTACATCAGAGGATGCGAAACTTAGAAAATAAAAAGTTGAGGCGAGGATGAAGCTAGTAGTCTATAACAAGTTTAGATTGAATTCCTCTTAGTGAGCATTTTCTTTTTTATGATTAGCCTGAGCATTTTGTGTTTTTTATTTTTTACAAATTTATGGTCTACCTTCAGGAGCAAGAGTGACTTTTTTCGTTCTCTATTCTCTTCTGTAGTGGGCAATCTAGTGGTCCCTTCAGGGGTAATGCGGTTGATGTTCCCATTTGGACAGTTTGATTTCTTGGTAATAAATGGATGATAAGGCTTGATTTGCTACGTATAAATTGCTCCATTTGAACCAGTTGATCATAGGTATAACTATAAGCAGCTTAGGTTACTGCAAGTTAAACCCAACCAGTTGTTGTGGTGAATGTTATCCTGTAAACGGGCGTGCTCTTGGCAAGATTCTATAGCTTAGGATCTAATTACTGAATTAAACTCAGAAGCCCTCATGGACCCATGCAACATGAGTAATTATCTTGACGCCTTTGTGAAAATTGCTGATATGCTTAGACAAAAGACCAGCATTCCTAGTATATTGTTGTGCATTCTGACATTTGCTGCTTGAGCACAGTATGGAAAGGCAAAATTCCATTTCGTAGTTGACAGGAAGTCTTATTTTTTACCACTAAGTTTCTATTGATGAGCTTCATCTCTGTGGTTTTCACTTCTGAATTATAAAATTGTATTTATTTCCTTTTCAGTAAATGGAGAAGGGAATCATTATGTTACTACATGCTGTTTAATCTCTTTATGTCTTCATTAATATTTTGGCTTGAAGAACCTTTCATAGAAGTACCTTGGCCGATGAGTTATGGTGCTATTTGCTTCTGTTGGGAGCGAAGTAGAACACCGTAATTGATATTACCCCTGTAGGTTTTAGGTTGAAATTTGTTCCCTCTGTAACTTGTAAATGGAAAATTAAAATTTTATGCAAGCACAGGATTTAATTGAAGGGGGATTGTTTAAACTTGTAGGCAATGGATACTGGAAAAAATGAACGATTAAGGTTGCTTATCTAAGAGAAGATCTGATACAAACAGTTTATTTTTATACCATCCATTTGGGGGTGCAAATCTCTGTATCAGTAAAGCTTTTGTGCTTATATGCATATGATTACGTCTTTAAGACTATCCCGTTATTGTTTATCTTGTTATGATTCCTTCTTGCAATTCTTTATGTTTCTGTTCTCCATTTTTTCTTAACTGCCGTTGCCTTACCATCAGTAATTAATGGTTTTGCTGGCATGAGTAATCTCTGAGTATACATACCTCGTATTGTTTATCCATATGTCTTCATGTATTAATTTTTTCTCTCTTTTCCCAGGTACAATGTCTTCACCGATGCAAGGATCACCCCTTCCTGCCACCACGGATTCACTGGCCCAGGCCTTAGAGGCCAAAACCCCATCTGAATCTATATCCATTCTCTATCGCATACTTGAGAACCCTTCATCTTCACCGGATGCATTACGCATAAAAGAACAGGCAATCTCCAATCTATCAGAACTTCTCACCCAAGAAAAGAAAGCTGAAGAGCTTAGAAGTCTCTTGACCCAACTTCGACCCTTTTTCTCTCTGATTCCTAAGGCCAAAACTGCAAAAATAGTGAGAGGGATAATAGATTCAGTTGCCAAGATTCCGGGGACTTCTGACCTTCAAATCTCTCTATGCAAAGAAATGGTTGAATGGACCCGTTCTGAGAAGCGTACATTTCTCAGGCAACGAGTTGAGGCTCGGCTTGCAGCTCTTCTGATGGAAAACAAAGAATACCCTGAAGCCCTTACTCTTCTTTCTAGCCTTATCAAAGAGGTTAGGAGATTAGACGACAAGCTGCTTCTTGTGGATATTGATCTTTTGGAGAGCAAGCTTCACTTTTCTCTGAGAAATCTACCCAAGGCCAAGGCTGCATTAACTGCTGCAAGAACTGCTGCTAATGCTATCTATGTGCCCCCTGCTCAGCAAGGGACAATAGATTTGCAGAGTGGGATCCTTCACGCTGAAGAGAAAGATTACAAGACTGCTTACAGCTATTTCTTTGAAGCCTTTGAGGCTTTCAATGCACTTGAAGATCCTCGAGCAGTCTTTAGCCTCAAGTACATGCTCTTGTGCAAGATTATGGTTAACCAAGCTGATGATGTTGCAGGAATAATCTCATCCAAGGCTGGTTTGAACTATGTTGGTCCTGATGTGGATGCTATGAAGGCTGTTGCTGATGCGCACTCGAAAAGATCGCTGAAACTCTTCGAAACTGCACTTAGAGATTACAGGGCTCAGTTGGAAGAAGACCCAATTGTTCATAGGCATCTCTCTTCATTATATGATACTCTCTTGGAGCAGAATTTGTGCAGATTGATTGAGCCCTATTCAAGAGTGGAGATTGCTTATATTGCTGAGATGATTGAGTTGCCATTGGAGCATGTGGAGAAAAAGCTTTCTCAGATGATACTTGATAAGAAGTTTGCAGGAACTTTGGATCAGGGTGCTGGTTGCCTTATTATCTTTGAGGATCCCAAACCTGATGCTATCTTTCCCGCGACTCTTGAGACTATCTCTAATGTTGGTAAGGTTGTGGACAGTCTTTATGCTCGGTCTGCTCGGATTATGGCCTAAGGTTCGTTGGTGATTACTCGCAGTTGCCACGGCTACTATTATATATTTTAAGTTTATGAATTATTGTAACATTGATGGTTGTTGGATGGCTAGATACTCAGTTTCTTTCTGTTCAAGTCTATTTGCTTACTAACTATTGCAACATTGATGGTTGTTTGATGTCCTGATACTCGGTTTCTCTCTGTCTGTGTCTATTTGCTCACGCTTTTGTCTGCCTAGTTATTTCGTTATGACAATGCATTAGAAACTTGCATACTTAGGCCATTGAAAAAAAGAGTAGCAGTCCGAGAATTTATGCGGTTGGCTTCTTGCCGCGTACAGATTCGTCCATCTTATAGGAGTTTCACTAAACTCCCAAGTTCTGCCAGCAATATTCGAATTAGTTAGGTTGTCATAGGTTTTGATGGTATAATAATGTTGTTGGTTTTGAGTCTAGTTGCAGTTAAAAGTGAGTGGATGTTGCAAGCATTTTAAAGAGAACGAAACTCTTGAAATGGTCTTGCATACAAAAGCCTGGATCCTTAAAGTACTTACATCCATGCATAGCTCAATATATCCATGCGTTGCTCGAACATCAGAGAGTAAAATTACAATAACACTTGCCAGTTGCTATCAGCGAGACAAGGGTTCAAAGAGTACGGTTGAACAATCGGTCGGTCAGTTCGATTTTTGGCCAAATTTGGTCAAACCGAAGAGAATTGCCTATCATTCAAAACCGAACCGAGCCAATTCAAATCGGTTTGGTTCGGTTTGGGTTGGCTTGTTTGGTCTTCTCTTGGGTATAAATGTTATGTCCAAATTCAATTTCACCTTTAATCTGTTGACGAAGAAAGAAATCTCCTACAGTTTGATGTTCGAGTAAAATTACAATAACACTTGCCAGTTGCTATCAGCGAGACAAGGGTTCAAAGAGTACGGTTGAACAATCGGTCGGTCAGTTCGATTTTTGGCCAAATTTGGTCAAACCGAAGAGAATTGCCTATCATTCAAAACCGAACCGAGCCAATTCAAATCGGTTTGGTTCGGTTTGGGTTGGCTTGTTTGGTCTTCTCTTGGGTATAAATGTTATGTCCAAATTCAATTTCACCTTTAATCTGTTGACGAAGAAAGAAATCTCCTACAGTTTAATTTATTGAAATTCATGAACTATCAAATGCTACTGAATATTAGATGTAAAAATCAGAATCTAATTCCTGACAAAGCTTACATAATATTTTTAGAGAAAGCTTACATAAAAAATTAAAGTGATCTTAATCTGATAGACAAAGTAAATAAAAAATATGTAATAATTTGGATGTTGAGTATAATTTCTATAAAATTATAAGTCTGATCCAAAGATTCTCTTGCATTATGTGTATCAATCAAAGAGAAAAATCAAGAAAATATTAGAATCAACATTATAGTTTAAATTTCTCATCTCCAAAGTGGATTGGTCCAAACTAGAAGAAGCGAATAGATAATAGAAAGAGGTAGACAATCAGATAGGATGAAAAGCTCTAGAATTAAAGAGGACATCATTGTTGGGGTATTTTATCGCTATCAGGTCTCATGAGAGAAAAAGATATCAAGCTGTGACGAAACAACTCTATATGAATTATGGCAGGTCAAATTTAAGCGGATGTGGATAGTAACTAGAATGTGTAATACAGTTCGGTCGGTTCGGACGGTTCAAGTTGAAAAAACTTCAACCCGACAGGAACCAAACTTTAGTGAAAACCGAACCAAATTGTCAAATTTCGGCCGGTTTGCTCAGTTTGAACTGAAGAATGCTCACCCCTATCAAAGAGGATAAAACAAGCGGTAGCAACATATGAGAGCAGCTTGCCTCTACAATTCTAACAGGTCAACTGAAGTATGAGAGCAGCTTGCCTCTACAAACATAAGTTTTCCTCAACATCCTCAGCTATATGTCACAGTAATGCAAGCCGCACCCCCTATGTAGTTATTTGTACATGCAAAACAAAGAAAGTGCCCCGAGAAATTGAGGCCTAAGTATGAATCTCCTGATAAAGACGTGATGCTAATTTACATAGGTGGACGATATCCACAATGCACGAGTGTGAAACTCCTCTCATATCTAATCAAATTGAGAACAGAAGATTAGTTTTCAGAATCAGAGCCAGAACCCTGAATTCGCGGTCTTGTGAGTTCATTGGGGCCTTCAATCGTATTTTGTCCTCTACGCTGTACTGGTTGGTGGGCTTCCTTGACTATCAGATTTGCTGATTAAAAACAGAAGAAAATTGGTTGGTACACAGCAGAGAATTAAAATTAGTTTTAAGCATTCTACAAGGTACACGAGAAACTACATTACTTGTACCACAAAAGAAAACACCTTAGAGGAATGTTAGCATAATATTTACCTATACAAACAAAAGAGGTACCTAGAACACGAACTTGCTAAATCGGCACTAAGCAGTAAACATTTACACATAAATGATAAATCAATCAAAAAGTGTGTGCAGTTATTACCGAAAGACTATACTTTAGAAAGGTGTCTCAATTTGGGTATTCCATCCATACTCTTCAACTCTCAGAAGTTAGGAAATTATTTCAATCTTGCCCCTCATCACTGATTGCTCAGGTTGTGGAACATTAGAGGGTTACTACCCCCATGTATGCATGAAGTTAAGTAAAGACTTGCTAGATAGATTTCCCTACTTCCTACATGTATTTAGTCTTACAAAAAGAAGTTAATCCATAGTGGCACTGGCCAAAAATTTGAGTCAAACTTAGGGGGTTAACCAATCATAGGTGACAAGGACAATCCACCTTTTAAATCACTCAAAGTTGTTAACAAAACCCATTTACAGGGGTTTTAAATGAAGTCAAATACCCAGTATTTCACCATTTTAAGATAAATATCCTAGAGTATTTTTTAACACCCGTAAATTGTCAGACACATTTAACAAGTATACTTAATGGTTGCTTTTATCTTTTAATGGTTAAGAATTACTATTCCTCCCTACCCTTTTACAGTTTTCTTTTTCTCTCTACCTCTTCAGTTTTTCTTCCTCTCCCGTGGTGTTTCCTTCATTCATAACCCTCATATCAAGGCCAGATAAATAACTCAAAGGAAGATGATGAGATGTGAGGATTTAGTTTTCACTTGAGGATAAGATTATCCAAACATCACCATGTGAATATCATGGTGATGTTATTAGCGATATTTAAAAGCTAACAAACTTTTAGGGTATTTTTCTGTCAAAAAATATTTTAATGCATTTATCATTAAAAAATGGTGAAAGCAGTAGGGATATTTATCAACAATTAACACACTTTAGGTAAAAACCATTTTGCTAATTGCTTGGGCACCAAGTTTAATTATGGCATCATTCACAAATACATATTGTAGAAAATAAAAACGCAGCTTAGAGTTCAGGAGGAAAAGTAAAGGAGTAAAACATAAATGTGAAAACAAGCAATACAATTGACGTCTGGGTTGTAAGAAATAGCACTTGATCAAAACAGATCTCACAAATTTCCACACCTAAAGTAAGTTTATGCATACCTGTACTCGCAAATCTTTTAAGCATGCCCTTTAAGAATTCAATTTCTCCTTGATGTGAAATGGTAAACTTCATCTGAAGTTTTAACAATGTAACATTAGTACTTAAAATAAAGGTTTATGCCAAAATAATACATGGAAATAGTAACTGTAAATTTCATGACTAAACACAGTAATATCATAGCAAAGAAAAAGCAAAAGATGATCAAATAAAAACGTGTTACCAATCCAGGGGGGAAAAGAAGAAATAAAAAAGAAGAATACAATTGTAAAACCTGATAAACATTTTATTTGAAATAGTAACCGCAACAAATCAAGATCATAGTCAAGGAACATACGATCTCTCTTGTAATGAAATCATGTAGCTGATCTAGTCTGTCTTGATGTTTCAACAGGAAGGGGCGCAGATGCCTCGAATATAGATGCCTTGCTCCCTAGAAGAAAATGGGTCATGTATCAAAATCATTAGCTAAAACTCAAAATAATGTACTTCTCAAAACTGTAATACAATTAGCGCACATCAACATAAGTAACACCCTACACGTAGAATAGTGGAAACCAGAAAAAAGAACTACAGAGCTCCCTAAACCCGCAAAGAAACATGATGAACAATCCAATTAATAAGTGAAGTGCAAAACTAAAAGCAAAGGAATGGCCATGATCCTTGTTCTGAAAAAAGGGCTAAGCGCCAGCTTAAGTGAAAGCGGAATAAAAACAAGCAGGGTTTCAGCTATGCGCTCAATTATGCGGACACCCGCTTAACAGGCCGATTTTTAAGTAAGTGCCAACATAATTTATTTATATGGGCGCTTTTTTTTCCTTTGTAATTTAATTGCGGGTTGAACCCGTTTACCCCAAAACCTGATGCAACAAACTAAAGTAAAAAAAAAATCCTAACCCTAATCAAAACTCCGGCCTTTGTCATTTCTGAACTTAAGCTTCTGTCTCCGACGAAACAGTGAAGCATCTATCTCCGACTAAGTTTCATTATAAGGATGATGAAGAAGACTAGATGATTTGTTTTTGATTTATGGATATTTAGTTTTAGTTTGAGTGCTTAATTTAACAACTTTTATCTGAGTATCTAGTTACTTTTGATGTGGATTGAACTTTTAAGTAGTTAACTAGTTATTATCTAGTTACTTTTGATGTGTGATTTGAACTTTTAAGTAGTTAAACAGTTATCAATTATTAAATTGCATGCTTGTTGATCTTTTTCTTAGTATATTTTTCATTTTCATGAATTTTGCATATTTTAACATATGATAAATAATAAATATATATTAAAAATTCAAAAATACATAATTTCACATAATCTGATTAATCAATGCTGACAATGCTTAATACAATTAATCATTAAGCGCTGTGAGACAATGCATAATCAAACAGTGTTTTTGAACATTGGCCATGATCAGCCAATTCAAATGGACCACCGACTTTACTACACTTCTATTTAGGAGTTACAGGAGCACGATTTATCAAATTGAAGCTCTTAAAAAAATGCATAAGATGTCCACCAGCATTCATCTCATGGATGGTCTAGTCATTTGGAAAATCACATTGTCTCAAGGTGGAATTTTTTACTTTAAGGTGGTTTTTTTTAAAACTTTCCAGGTTACTGTGCCTATTTTTATATTTTACTTTTGCCACTTTATGCTTCCTTCTTAACTTATCAGAATGCTTTGTTTTATTTAGAATCTTTATTAGTTATTTACATAAAAACATATTCTCACTGTTTGTAGGCATCTTTAACTTTTGATTGAGAAATGTCTCCTTCCTATATTCTGGTGGATTATGTAATTGTTTTACCTAGGATCTGGTGGATTATGATATTGTTTACCTAGGATCTTCAAAGGTTCGTCAGGGCTAGAATGAAATCTACCTGATGCTAATGCTTCTAATCTGTCACATTATGTCAGTCTAGTCACATTATTCCTTTAGTCACTTCTAGCGGACAAACAGACACCTCTTCCCTATTGATCCCACACACCAGACAGACTCAAAAAGAGAATCAGAAAGGAAAAAACGAAGACACAGACCAGATAGATTTAAAAAAGGAAAATGGAAAAGAGAACAAAAAACAACCACCGCCATCCACCACCTAATAAAGACCTAAATGAGGCTGGGATTTTTTTAAAGATACTCAACAATCAATCTCAATCAAATCAAATCTCTTCCAGAGAAAATGTGAAATACCACATTATTCAGTTCATGAAACACAACCTGCGATTAAGTAGAGTTTTCTTGATGCATTAATGTATAATACTTACTGAAAAGAGAACAGGAATTCAGTTTGTCCCTGAGTAAAAATCCGATATGGGATGACTCTGGTTATGCATCTAGAGGATCTCCGAGACTTTTATAATCAGCAATTTCCTAAGTTCTAACTACTAATCACAGCTAATTTTTAAATTTTTCTTGCTGCGTCAAGGAAGAATACATACATTACCAGATGGAAGTTGGAGCCAGACAAGAAACACGAACTTCATATGATAGTAAAGTGGGAACCTGCAAGATATTTAAAGTATAAGTTTAGGAAAAGGGTCATGCAATGAAAATCATTCACACCATAATGTATACCAAATTAAACCTACAATTCCAATTCAATTCACAGGAAGATGTTCCACCGTACTAATACCTATTATCAGAACAAGAATCTAAAGAGAAACTTGGAACTGTCCATAAAGTTCTCGTTTCTAATGATTGAAGTCACAGATTCAATAGGTACTCAATATGATCCAGGGAATTTTCTTCTTTCTAGAAGGGCTAGCATAAGCCACGTGCTTTTGTTCAAGGTGGGTAACTTCCACAAGAAGTATCAGTAGGATAGACTACTGTAAATGAGAAACCCATAAAGCAGGAAAATTATTTAGTATATGGCCATATGCATGAATTGCTTTTTTGTGATCTCATTAATTGATAGGTATATAATTTATAAAAATATTTTAGATGTATTATATAACCAAGAAATAAATGAATCTCAGGTAGAATAGCAGCAAATTTCTCAGGCAAATGCGTGTACCAGGAGAGAATTTTGTCAGAGAATGTCTCCACAAGGCTGAAAGATCCATATGCTGCAACACAAGATAAATATATTCTTAACTATCAACAACAAGTAGCAGAAACTAATGCCCAAGTATTACCATAAAGCACAACAAACATTAATTTATTTACAACTTAAAGCTGTTACACACAAAAACGAACAGGTCATGAAGAAATGTGGAACATGCTCTATAAGGGCCTGAGGTTGGTCCAATTTACTTGGAGCAGAGTTTTAGAGGTTCTGCTTGATTTAATGGGATTCAGAATTGGGCTTACTCCATGAAATATATTTTACGGGAAAGGCATTTGTTTGCAGCAATGGACCCAAGAAGGGATCAGATTTACAAAACCAAACAATTCAGATTTTGCAGTACACTAAGACCTTATTCACTTAGTTTCTTCCTAATAATCTTAATTGCTTTCTACAGGTCTCAGCAGCTAGAGTTAAACTTCCTCTCCAGTTTCAGTTCCAAATTTATTTCCCAATCATCTAGGACCTTCAATGTGACCTGCAACTAACCTGCCCAATATAAAAGCCATCTTTCTTGTTCACTTCGCTCTTTCTCCTCAATTGCCTTGAAAGTTGAGTATACAGGAAAAGCAATCCCCACTGTGCAGCTGTACAAACCAGATATGCAAGAAAAATATAAACATAAATAATAAAGATAACTGCTAGAGACATTGGGTTCGGCATTCACATGTGTGTATATATTCTTCAAATCCGGGCATTATATACTTGAAGTCAAATACTTACAGGTGAAAAAATATTATTAAAGAACGTATGCCTTTTTAATTTGAAACTTGAATATAATAAAAGTAGACTTTACCAAGCTGTTCTAGTTACTATGTTAGCACCAAGGGGGGAAAGCAGCAACTTCAGCCCAACCTGCAGAATAGACATATAACTATTCATAAAAGTTATAAACTACTAACTGTTACCAGTGTAATGCACATGACTTAGAATTAATGTTATTGCACACATATTTTGGCAGTATTATGATGTTATGAATAGCCATTCAAAATGAACACCTATCAATATCAATTTCTCATCGAGAAAAAAATTCATTAAAAAAATATATTTGTAACTATTTTCAAAATAAACCATCTCAATAGTAAATGAGCAAGATATGAATAATAGCATTAAGCCTAGAAATGCATGAATATAGCTTTTCCCAAGGTAGAAAGCTTAGGATTGA